TGAAATTTGAAAGCCACTTGCCCAAAGGGATAGGTGTGACAAAACACGGCCAATATAGCAGATATTGCTATTTTAAAGCCCCCAAAATCCCATATTGGTCTAGTTAACATTACTGAAGCTGAACTGATGGAGAAGCAAAATGGTTCTTTGCATTTGGGTTTAGACTGCAGGACTATTTCCTGGCGACTTGGTCCAAATGCCCAGATCTGTGCAGACCTTTATGAGAAAGAACCATCCCAACAGAATATTTGTTTCATTTTCCCAGTTTGCTGCAGGAACAGGAAGCAACTCACTGGACATGCTGAGGTCTTTGGTCTCCTGGGTCTCATGGCCGCACTTGGGACACGGCAGAGCTTTGCCCTTCTCCTGCTTGAAGACCTTGCTCTTTGCGTGGTCGTCACAGTAACAGGCCTGCAGACACAATGGAAACAGCTCCGTCAGAGGGTTCTGGTCCGAACTACTCTACTGGTCTTCAACTGGCAGAAGCCAGAGAGATGTTCAAGTCAGTTGGTTTCATTTTACCAGCCTGGCTAAAGAGACGAGAAGGAATGCAGATAGAACAGGTTTACTGCGGTTCTATTTTTAGATTTAGACTTTAGATTCAGAGATCAATCAGAAGAACATCAACCGTTTCATAAACATCAGAAAAGTTTTCAGCCCCAACGGATAAGATCAGCTTCCTCTAATCCGCTCCACTTCCTGTAAACACTTATAGTGGCGCCTCAGTCACTCCAGGACGCTGCAACCGTTACCATGCAACCAGCGACCAGGACCAGATAAGCCCTTCACTGCCATAATGACCATATGCCCTGTGTAGTCCTGGGGTTCAGGCCTGCCTGATCTGCCTGTCTTTACTCTCAGAAGCTTCCACACCTTTAATCCTCTCCAACATGATGAAGAGGCTTCAGAGGGACTCTGCTTCTGAGTTCTCCTCCTGTCACTTATGTGAACCTGACACCTGGAGCAGCTGGATCATAAGGGCTGAAGGCTTCAGCTGCACGACCTTTGGATCTGATGTCTTCCTGCTCTGGGTGTTGTTGATCAACCAGGCCCCAGCAGCAGCTCTTATGTAAACCATAAACAGCCAGTCTGAGATTCCTTGAAGTGATACGGTTCCCATGCAGCTGTTACTGTAATGTCAGCTGTTCCTCATTTGGTCACTCTAGAAACTGGAAGTAGAACGTATTCCAGGGACAGCAGCAGGTAGAAGAAAACAGCTGTAACAGCTGCAGCTCTGAGGATCTTGGTTTTAAGTCACAGGACGACCGGACCCTGGTTAGGTCTGACCTAACAACAACAAAGGCTTATTTTTAGCAGGAGGACAGACAGGTTTCCTGGTAGTAGCACGTCTAGTTTGATCTGATCTTCCCTTGCAGCTTCTTAAAGATTCAGTTTCATTCGTCTGCACTTCCTAAAATGGAACAAACTAAAACAAAAAGGAAAAAAGTGTCCTTCATTACAGCAGCTGCAGCAGTGGGGCTGGTCTCTGTGTGATGCTAGCCAATGGGATCAGAGAGTTTGATGTTTCTCACCTTACAGCGCAGACATGAGTGCTGTCCCAGCCTGTTACAGGAAACACCTAGAACCAAACAGAGATGCATCAGTTCCCACTCCTCAGATTAAACCAGATACAGTCTCCTTTCCTTCAACGCTTCAGTCCACATGACTCACATTTAAAGGTTTCTGCCTGCAGGACCTGACAGCTGGCCTGGTGCTCAAACTGATCGTCTTCACACAAGAAATTCTGACAGAAGGAGCAGCGGAAAATGCGACCTCCTGCGAAGGAAGCAGAGGGTTTATGTGATTTAAACTCAGCAGGAAAAGGAGGGGAGGGGGATGGTGGAGTGGATGTCTCACCGTGGTCCCAGACGCCACGCTCGCACTCGATGCAGTCGGCGTCGGCCAGAGGACAGGAGCAGGCGTGGGTGCTCAGACATTTTCTACCATGGCAGACCCAGGCTTCACAGAAGTCACACACTGCCCCCTAGTGGGCAGACAAGAAAAATGAGCTTGGCCAGCTTTAAGATGCTTTCCACCTAACCTCTGGTGGACCTCATCTACTTCCATACTTAAATGTCAGACACATTATTTCCACAGATACATTGAGAACATTTTCATTTAGTGTCAGTCTATAGACTAATGATCAAACCATGAACTGATTTTAGATTAAGTCAGATTTTAGTCAGCATAAATCCTGCTTGACTAAACAAACAAAAACAAAAAAAGAATTATTACAATCCAAAACCTGAACATTTCTTCTCTACATTTAACCCTTTCAGTACCAGAAGCAGTAAAAGTTTTTTCAAAATGGCCGCTCTGATTGTTGGTTGTCTTTATTTCAGCAAAGTAACTAGAATCAGACATGCAGACCTCTGCAAAGAGTGTGTGGGAACAGTTAGAGTCAGATTAGGTTGGTTTTGTGGGGCTTATATTTTTGAAACTTAGCACAGAAAAAGAACGGGATTATAGTTGTAAAGCTGGGCGTACACCGTGCGATTTTCCAGTCGTGCGAAAATCTTTCGATCGGGCCGACTTTCAGCCTGATCGTGAGTCGTGTAGTGTTCAGGGGGTCACGAAAGGTGATCAGCCTCTCACGACCAACTCCCGACCAGAAATCGTTAGGTCAGTAGAAAATCAAACAACCGGGCGCATGTGCAAACAAGGATTCTTCTTTTTATCCTTCTCAGATGTAAACACAGCAGCGTGGCAGGGATGCAATGAGCGAAATGCAGTTCTTTCTGTAAAATTGACAGACCGTAGCAGCCATGTTTGCTCAGCCATGTCTTTGTCCAAATACGTTTTTGCCTTTTCTTTTTAGGGCTTTCAGCACAAAAATGCACAAATTGCCAAGGCAGAGCGTTTCACTATAGTGAGCTTTATATTCCTCTTCTACTCATTTGGCTTCTGGATAGACGAGTCAGAACAGCTCCATCTTACTGCGGAGTTGAGTCCGACGTGGTTTTTAGTTGTGCAGTGTGAGCAGGTAGATCGAATGAGAGCGTCGGGCTGAAAATAAATCGTGAGCTGTGAACTCACACTGTACGACGAAACCCTGCGGTTAGTCGTACAGTGTGAGCAGCAGCTGCGTGCAACGACTGAAAAAATAAAATCGCTCAGTGATCTTTATCAAATTTTAATCATCACCACTTTGATGGTTGATATAACAGACTACAGCCATGTGTTTAGAATAAACTAGTAGAACAACATAGACAAAAAGTGGACACCTAGGCAACCATGTTGTTCCGATCCCTACTCACCACCATGGCCATCCCCGTGCTGTGGATCCCTGGATGCTTGATGACACAATCTGAAGCCTTCATGCACTTGGTTTTACCTATAGAAAAAAAAAAAAAAAAAAAGAAAACTATGACCAGGATCTTATATCTCAATCTGCAGGTTTACTAGTGGTTCTTATAGCTTCTAAAATAGAAAGGGAGGTAGATCTTTCAATTTGTCAGGCTCCTCTCCTGTGGAGCCGACTATCAGTTTTTGACGTTTAAGCAAGATTCCAATATCAGTGAAGTGGGGGGAATATCTGATAGTAAAATGTAATTAGCACGCAGAACAATGGTGAGAAGTTTGGCATCATTGCAAGACCAAGCAAACCTGCTGCTCCGTGATCAGCGGAAAAAGGTAAACAGCTCCAAACAGTGGTGAATATTGTAAGTGCAGTTTAATATAATCCAAGTATGTGAATAGTTCCATCTGAAATTAATGAAAAGAGTTGCTTTGTAATCCAGTCAGATACGTGGCAGATAATGTTTGGTTTATTAAAAGGTTTTATCCGTCCCTGTACAAATGGGTCAGACTGACATATAAGCTCAGGTTCTAATATCTCTGCAGTGTGGGGACTACAAATCTGATGTTCTAGGTAGCAGTACTGCTGCTCCTTGTAAATTTAATTAGCACACATAACAGTAGTGAGAAGTTTGGCATCCATTCTTTGCCTGCTTTGTGTTTCAACAATCACTGTTGCCAGGCGACAGAGCGTAAGCTGAGTAAAGGCTGATTTATACTCAGAAAAAAGGTTGTCTGCATGTGTGTCGCAGTGAAAGCAGACACTCAGGTGCACCTCTCCAAAATTGTAGGTGACCGCAGACATCCGCTCTACACTATGCGTATTTCCTGTTTGGTTCCTTCCCGGCTTGTTTTGTTTGTATGACCGCCATTGTGGAAAAAAACTTGTGAAGATGGGCCAGCTAGAAGAGCGAGGAGCGCGAGAACGCTGGGACCCTTTTTCCAACTGGATCCCCGCTCTTTTTCGACCTCATGTTCCTCCGTTGTCACACAAACTTGCCCCCACTTCCTCACCGCCTCGGCCATATCTAGACCCACAGCTAGTTCCTGATTGTCCCTCTTGTGTTTTAGCGTGGAATAAAATAACATAGACCATGTTTTAATATTAGGCATCAAACAAAAATATCTGCAATAAGCTCACTGCGACACACTGCTGTGGGAGCATAACCAGCCCTTAACGGGTGTTGAAGGCTGGACCTGTTTTAATCCATATTTTCCCGGCCCTCAAAGGATCATGTCCAGGTAGACCGGGTCCTTGGAGGATGGAGCCTCTGAAATCGAACTCATCCCATCTCAGCCCCCTGCAGGGATCTGGAGGCCTACTGGTGTGCAGTGGTGTCTAAAGTACACACAATTGTTACTTAAGTAGATGTATAGATACTGCAGTCTAAAAACACTCTGGTAACATTTAAACTATCAACTTGACCTCTTCACTAAAGTAAAAGTGAAAAACTATGTGCTACAAAAACTACTTAAAGTATAAAAGTAGAAAGTAACCTAAAAAACAAAAACAGCCAGATGCCACTATGTGAATTGAAAGCTACATTTTTCGACTATTTCGAAAAAATTCTTTGAAATAAGACCAAGGATAATGGAGGTCTTGTTGGTCTCCATCTCCCGATACGCTCTCGTCTGTGTCCGACCTTTCAGACATTTCAACATCTTTTTCTGAATCCTACATTGTAGCATGGCATAGGCAATTCACCTTTGCAGTTTGAAGAACACCTGCTTGCTTCTGATGATTTCCTTTAGCTAACCAATGAGTGTTTGCGTTCTATGACTCATCCAATTACACTGGTTTTCACTAGATGTGGATGGAGCCAATGATCTGCATTAGATGGCGCACATGACTGGAAATAAAGATTTATAAACATTAAACTGAAGCCAAGAGTAACGAGTAACGTTTGTTTTAAAAATGTAAAAAAAAATAGAAAGTAAAGACACTTGTGTAAAAATGTAATGAGTAGAAGTCAGAAGTAGAAAGAAAAATAAGTAAAGGAGCAAAGTATAGATACCTAAAAAGTGTACTTAAGTGTACTTGACACCTCTGCTGGTGTGTGAGCATGAAATGCTTCCTTAACTGGGATTTTTTTTTTTTTTTTTTTGTAGGAAGCTTCAGGATACTCACCACACTGGGCACAGACAGGCAGCTTCTGTACAGAGTTACAGAAATAGCAGAATGCTCTGTTCTTCTGCTTTCTATCAGAAAATCAACAGAAACAATTTAACTTTCCACACATCACCTCAGTGTGAATGAGGAGAGTCTACTTCAAGAACACATTTGCTTACCTCTGACATTTGTCACAATCCTGCAGAAGCACAACAGAGGATTATTATGTCGCACTGACAGTGTTGGTGCTGAATCCAGCAGCTAAATGTTACTGACCATGTTGACGTTGCAGGGGTGTTTGGCCACATCCACGTGCTCCCTGTTGGCCCGGTTCTGTTTCTCTCGCTCTTTTCGGTTCTCCGCCTTTTTTCTGGCTCCGGTTTTCTTTTTGGGCATCTTTCTTCTTTATTCTTTCGCCTCCTGGGAAACAAATCGGTTAAAAACAGTTTCGGTCACGATTTTCATATTACAGAACAGTCGGCATCGTGACGTTTTCTACCCTTTATGAGGATAAACCGTTTGGTCATGGATAACTTTGACAGGAGCTGGAAAGTTTATAGAGATATTCGCTTAAAAATAGAAACGAATGAGCCGACATTAGACTATGATCCGTTTGCTTTAATATTTACGCTCATAGAACCCGAACCAGGCAGGTTAAGTCAAAGTTTTATTTCAAATGTCAAATATCAAAATTTTTTTTACCTTTCCCTGCGAATAAAACGGTCCTTGTCCGTCCCTAAATGGTGTCCGTGGAAAAGCAATACTAAAATTGGGTTCCGGAAGTGGGAAGTTGTTCCTGGTTTCATTAGCGCCACCAGCTGGTATGGAGTGTAGATGGAAATGAGAACAACACACACGCCAGTTTTGTGTTTGTGATTTATGGGGACAATTATTTGACTTCCATTCATTTCCATGGCTTAACCCTAAGCTAAACTGAATCCATACTTTGGTCATAAAGTCCTTCCAATTTAAGGCTGGTTGTTTCCATGCCAAGTAGAGAACCTTTCCTCATCGGGATCAGTCATTGGTCTCCACAAGTATACAGTTAAAAAAAAAACTCCCACAGAGTTGAAAATAACTTTTTCAGATAACATTTGTTCCTACTCAAAATTGGTGTAAAATTTGCTCTATAGCAAGTGCCAAATTTTCAGTTAATTTAACAAATTTTGGTTTATAAAATCAAGACCTCTCACAGACTCATTAGTAATCAACACCATTGTTACGTCAACCAGGCTTGTTTGGTGGGGGTAACATTAAAGCAGACCAGACAAGGATTTTCTTTAAAATAAAAATTTAATTTATTAAATTATACTAAAGAAACAAAAAGCTGAGAAAGGGATAAATAAAATGGAGAATAGAAAATGGCTTAATGCAAAACCAATAGCTAAACAGAAATAGGCAAATGCAAACAAACCTAACAAAACCCAACCATAGGATAGGATACAAACCAAACGGGGTTCTAAGGAGGTAAGAGGGAGAAGCCTCTTGTCTGCTGCTTGTATGACAGCCTTTAAAGCAGACAAGCACCAATTAGGGCAAAATGGAACACCTGCAGAAGGCCTGCATCCAGAACCCTGCAAGGAAAGGGGAGAAAACCACTGCACCCGTAACGCCATATAGTGTAAAAGTTACAATGCATGGCGTGCTATTAAAATTTTTGTCTATTCTTTACACACAAACTCTAGTACTTGAGAGACAATGACTACAACAAGTAACTCATTCACCAAACCCCTAAATAAAAAAACAAAAAAAAACAACAATAATCCACTGGATGTTGTTTCCAAGTTTAAAGACGTTTCGCTTCCCATCCAGGAAGCTTTTTTAATTCAGAAAGTTAGAAACAGGGTTGAGTTTTAGGCTTTATAGAGTGGACAAAAAACAAAGCCTTGTTTTGGCCTAGAAAACATGCAAATTGAAGCGGACGAACAGGTCGGCCCCTTTGGAATGGGCAGTCGTTTCGGTTAGAAAACAAACCCCTAAATCATTAGCAGTAAAGGGCCCATCTGGTCCTGATGGCTCCCAGGCTCCACGTTGGTTGCATGGTAATAGTTATTCCAAAAAATTAAAAACAATCCACTGGACTTGGTTTTCGAGTTTGAAGACGTTTCTCTTTCCATCCAGGAAGCTTTTTCAACTCCAAATGTCAGCAACAGCGGTGGCCCCCCACTCGCCAGTGTGAATTGTAGTAGCATCATTTTATCATTTCATCCCATTATACACAGCCAGTGACATAACATTAAAAAACACACAATAAACTAAGATATGAGTAGGTCTTTACTTAAGTCTGTATGATTTCTACAGGCAGGTTAACCACAAAAGTAGATTCAACCCTGAAATTATGACTTTTAGTTTCAGTGTGCCGCCCCCAAGATTTTTCGGTCCCATCTGGCCGCCCCTATGAAACATTTCTGGAGGCGCCACTGTCCACATCACATGCAATGTCCTCTTGTCCAAGGCACCGGGGAAAATATCTCCTGCACAATAACCCCACATGCCGCCTCCATTGCCTGTGAAAGGGCTATGCATTGAAGGTGGTTACGGTCATAGACCTTCCAGCGCCAGAGAAGAACGCCCCAGTCAGATTAAAGAATGGAGAGGAAGGTTGAGTGCAGGGAAGAGCGGGGAACTGTGAACCAGTTGCAGACCAAAGCGGTCCTGTGGCTTATTTATAGTGCTTGGGCTGATTGCAAACTGAACTATTTATCTAAAACAGTTTTTACATGTGACAGTGTGCCAGACAGTTGGCAACATGTAAATAATATCCATATATGTGTACAGTGTTGCTAGGAGTGAGCTGATTATTTGGAAATTGGGTGTAAAGCGGCAAGTTGTTTTTACAGTTCCGCAAAAAGAATGGTTTGTACCGACAGTTTTGCAAAGTGTGCGTTACAAATTTGCAAACCAAGTGCAAAGCAGTGTTTGTGCTATTAGTTTTGCAAATTTGGGGAGTGGTTTTTCTATAAGTATTAATCGTTTTAGAAACTGGTGAGGTATTCTTTCAGAACATGTCATACAATCAAGAAAAACATTAATTCAACTTAACAGTTGAACAAATTTGCACTTAGTATAGTTGTAAATACTCTATTTAGAGTACAATAGGTTGACTCTGAAATTTTAACATATCACGTATCAGTGACTGAGGATTGGTTTGAGGTTTTGCAGATTGTATGTTGCTGAAAAGTGTTTGTTTGGCCAAAAGGCTGTGATTTCCGACTGTGTGGTTAAAGGAAAAAAAAAAGTGGTTGCAAGAATGGAGTTTGGTGTTCTAGTAATTGTGAAAAACCATAGTAACAACTAGAAATAAACAGCATTTTTTTTATTTTGCTTCATATCTTCACACAGTATCTGGCCAGTTTTCTGCCTGGCTCTGCTTTACCATGAGCACAGTGTGTGAGAAACTGTCCTATTTTTTTTTTTTTTCTAAGTAAACCAGGGCAGATCAGGGTGTGATGCAGAAGCAGCCATGTCTGGCATATGCAGGGTTTCACTCAAACTCATTGTGGAAGGCAGATTCAGAGCAGACAGAGCTCGGGAGCAAGAAATAAACCAGAGGGTTAACCAAAGTCCATATTCACTCTGATTTGATTAGATTGTTGTTGTTTTTCATGGGGGTTAAACTGGGTATTGATCAAATAAATGTTAAATGTCCTTTTCTTTACATCATCCTTATTCTGTTTTTTGCTCTTGTTCCTTCATTTCTACAGTTTGATTATCAGCGGGTTTGAAGACAACACTGTGAAATACAAAAAAAAGATGCAGATTCCCCCCCTCTGTGGATCAAACAGTTTAACCCCTTTTCTGCTTATTTGTAAAAACAATAGGAAAATATTTCTTCTTCTACTTGTTCTGAAACCTGAGTCGTTCAGAGTCAACATAATCAATAACAAACTAAAAAGTTGATTTTTTTTTTTTTGATTTTTCCAGTTAAATATCTGCAGATCTCTGGTCTCCTTGTTGCTAATTTATCTTAAACTTTTCTGCCCAGAATCAGCACACAAATAGACCGCAGTTATTTGTTGTATTTTATGAAAATTGCCTTAAATCACTTTTATTTAAAAAAAATTGTTATAAAAACAAAAAAAGGAGAAATGCAACAAGAAAAAGCTATTATATATATATATATATATATATAATAATAACAAAATAACAAAAGCAATTTCAAACGTTAAGTGCATTTGAATGCAGCATTTCTTTATTGGCCCACAGCTCCAGAACAGCTGAATTTTCCTCCTCATAAACGGAACCACAGCAAATTAATGCTGGTTAATCATAAAAGGGTCTGGTTTTCCTTTGATCTTTTGCACATAAACACGAGGCGCCGGCGGCACCTTGGCCAAGGTCACGTGTCAAGGATCAGCCAGCCGTTCGGTGGGAATTCTGCTTCTGATTCAAGAGCCGGATCGTTTGGTTCAACTGAACTGAATCAGTTCTTTTTCTGCTCTAAGAAAACTTTTCACTGAGGCAGTCTCCATGATGTCAGGGCAGGTTCTAACATAAATAATGGTAACAGGAAAACTTCTTCCCTTCCCATTGTAGTAACACAGTAACAGAAAACTTCAGGTGGATCCTTTTAAATTCAATCATTTTACAAATTAGGCTGAATTAAACTTAAATCCAAGACTTAAAAGCTGATTATCTCAACATACTGGAGTATTTTATTAAAACTAATCCATCCAGATCAAGTCGCCCTAGATAGTTTTGGTCCTTTGGGACAGATGTACAGGGGCTGAGCTAGATGGGGGGCCAGAGGTGGCCATGGCCACCCTTAGCCAATCATTGGCCACCCCTACCATGTTTCCCCCTCTAATACAGACGGTGGCAGCAGTAATACTCTCAAGTGGAATAATCACAACACTTTAAATTTTTCATATATTAACATTTAGCCTACATGAAAACAAAAACACTGTGGTTAATTATGCACATCCACTATATAGGCTACTATCATTAAAGACAATAAGTACAGAATTCATGCTCTTTTCAGAACTACTTTTTGTGTTTTATGGGGTAGAGAGAAAATTATTTCTCTCTGCAAGTCATCTGGGAGTATTCAGTGAAATAATAGATAACTATTTTAATATCGCCCCAGAACTCAAACTTGAAATATACTATATATATTATCTAGGAAGATGTTTAGGATATTTTGTCTTTATTTGGAAAATATGAACGTGGTTGTGCTCATTAATTTTCATATTGCAATAGTGTAGATTGACCCTGAGGTTCTGGTGCCTATCCACCAGAACAGAAATGTCTGGCTACGCCTCTGGGAAATGTTTTCTATCTTTGTTCAGATGTTCAGAAGTACCCCCAGGGTGATGGTTTGACTGGATGGATAGTGAAGGACCCCATGATGGTCCACAGAGCTGCTAATTATGTGATGGAAAGGAGCAGTGCGGTTCCGGTTCTTGTCAGTGATCCAGCTCGTAGAGCCGGCTCGGTCAGCAGAGTCCCTCGGTCCACCTGATGATCCCCCTTCAGCTCAGCTCTCCGTCCATCTGTCCACCAGCCGAACCATGGCTCCGTCCCTCCTCCGGACCTGCTGCGGGTTGATTCCGGTGACCGGGCTGCTGTCCTTCTGGTGCGCCCAGCTGCTCCACCTGGAGCCCGCGGTGGGAGAGAAGGAGGACTGGTTCCCCGCCGCGGTCAACATCACCTACCTGGACCCGGTCAGCCTGCAGGTGCGGGCGGAGAGCAGCGCGTGCGGTCGGTACGGGGAGAACTCGCCCAAGAGAGAAGTCAGAGGTCGGGTTGTGGTCCCCGTCCCCCCGCAGGACAGACAGGGGTGCGACCCGAATGTCCGGTTCCCCCCGGTCCAGAACCCCACCTGGGTGGCTCTGCTGGCTGCAGGGAACTGCTCCTTCAGGGAGAAGATCCGCAACGCAGCCAGGAACAACGCCTCTGGGGTGGTGATCTACAACAGAACCAACCACACCTTCAGCATGAAGCACTCAGGTCAGAGGAACTGGTCTGGGTGGACCAGATCTACTCCATGACAGCAGTGATCCTGCAGGAGGTGCTGGATCTGAGCAGGGGCGGAGCTAGATGGGGGACCAGAGGTGGCCATGGCCACCTTTAGCCAATCATTGGCCACCCCTACCTGCCGTAATACTCTCAAGTGGAATATTGAAAACATTTACATTTTTCATATATTAACATTTACTTGACAACAAAAACACTGGTTAATTATGCACATCAATAAACTATTATTAAAGATGATAAGAATAGATTTAATGCTCTGTTTAGAGCTACATTTGTTATTTTATATGTGATAAAGAGAAAATGATTCATCTCTGCAAGTCATCTAGGAGTCTTCAGTGAAATCAACTATTTTAATATCGCCCCAGAACTCAAACCTGAAAGAATTGTATCCTCTATACCTTTTATCTAGGAAGATGTTTAAATATATGCATCTAATTCCGTAAAAATTCAAAAAATATCCACTGGACTTGGTTTTCAAGATTTGAAGACGTTTCGCCACCTCTCCAGGAAGCTTTCTCAATTCAAATGTCTGGATCCGCAGTGAGTTTAAGTCTTATATAGACAACGCCTTGTATCGCTTGGAAACATGCAATGGTAACCGATGAATGGGTCGTTAGTTCCATTCATCAGCATATATGCATCTAATTTTTAGCAAAAGCTGTAGGAAAGGATATTTTGTCTTTATTTGGAAAATATTGACGTGGTTGCGCTCATTAATTTTCCTTTTGGAACAGTGTAGATTGACCCTGAGGTTCTGGCCCCTATCCACTTTTGGCCCCCCCTCAGTGTACATTGGTTATTGCCTGGCCACCCTTATAAAGAATTTCTGGCTACGCCTCTGGATCTGAGGTCTCAGAGTCCTGATTGATTCTGGATGAAGAACATCTCAAGGGCGGTTCTACAAAATGTTCGGGGGGCTGAAACCAGTTCAGGCTCAGTCTCTACTTGTCCCAGTGAACAGAGGCGTAGCTAGAAAATCTTTATAAGGGTGGCCAGGCAATAACCATCGTACACTGAGGGGTGGCACCAGAACCTCACGGTCAATTTACACTGTTCCAACAGGAAAATTAATTTTCAAAACATCCATATTTAAACTATACTCTCCTACAGCCTTTGCTAACAAACAGATGCATATATTTAAACATCCGTAATTTCTAGATAAAAGGTAAAGTGAATAAAATTCTTTCAGTTTTGAGTTTTGGGGCGAAAAATCTTTTCCTATTGTCATTACTTACCTACTATCAGTAAATATTCTGCATAAAATTGATATTTACAAGCACTAATGTCTACATAAATTGATTATTTGATAAGTTTTTATTAAAATAGACTCCTAGATGACTTGCAGAGACACATTATTTTATCTTTACCACATATAAAACAAAATTACTTCTGAAAATAGCATGCATTCTGTACTTATCATCTTTAATGTTAGTATATTGATGTGTATAATTAACCACCAAAAATTTTAATGTTTTGAATATTCCACTTGAGTGTATTACTGCTGCCACCTGTATTAGAGGGGGGGAAAATGCTAGGGGTGGCCAATGATTGCCTAAGGGTGGCCATGGCCACCCCTGGCCCCCCATCTAGCTCCGCCCCTGCCAGTGAACCAGCAAGAAAACAACACAATGATCCAAATTAATCGATGAAGAGGAGCAGATTTTCCAATTTAAACATCTGGTTCAACATGATATATGAAAAATGATCTTTAATTATTGCTGGATGGCTGAGAGAAAAACTTTACCCAAGAAAACATAAGAACTATTTAATTCCAGTATATGACTGTGACTATTTTGCTGTGTACAGTATTTTCTTCTGTTTTTGAATAAAATACCAACTTTGAAATGTCAGCAGGATATTCTATATGATGGAATCCCTGCTGCCACACTTTGGTTTATATTCAAACTCTGAAGCAGTAGAGCAGCCAGAAAACATCATACCTCCACCACCGTGCTCAGATATAGGTGGGATATTCTTTGCCCTGCGGGGTTTACAGTAAACACTTCACAAAGAATTTTTCTTTTCTGCTTCAGCTGTTTTTATAATTTCTTAAAAGGTTCAGAGATGTCCACTCGGTCCCACTGCTCAGAGAGAGAGAAACAAAACAATAACATTTGGAGGTTTTTTTATTCCTATTGTAGACAGAATTTACAAATAAACAACATATAATGTGACTCATATGGACCCATCAGGGCTACGTCTGACTCAAATATGGTTTCCACTCTTGGTCTCTGAGCAAGACCCTTGACCCCACACTGCTCCCCGGGCGCCTCACGGTGGCAGCCCACTGCTCCCTAAGGGGGAGGGGTTAAATGCAAAATTTCTCCAATGTGAAATCAATAAAGTTCAATTATAATTAGTATTATTTGGAAAATCTGATGCAAAGATGGATAGAGTTGAGAGTGTGATCTATGGAGTCAGAAAGGAGTCAAAATGATTGTAGATTTGAATGTGATGCCTGGAGTTTCCCTGCTGTGCTCCGTGACCCTGTTCTGTCTGCTGTGTGGATCAGGTACAGGTGACATCGTGGCCATCATGATCCCCGCACCTAAAGGTCAGGAACTCCTGACTTTGCTGGAGCGGCGCTTTGTGGTGATGATGCACATCAGTGTGGGAACCGGCAACCTGCAGAAACATGTGAGCGCAACCTCTGTGGTTTTCGTCTCCATCTCCTTCATCATCCTCATGATCATCTCACTGGCCTGGCTGCTGTTCTACTACATCCAGAGGTTCCGCTACGCTAACTCAGCAGAACGCAACCAGGTAACGCCAGAAGCTCTGAGCTACGTTCTGAGTCACTGCTGTTGTCTGATTGGTCCTAGCAATGCTGACCTGAAAGGCTATGAGGAACAATTTGGTTCCTTCATCAAAACGGAAATGCAAGCTCCTTACCGTTTTTCGCCGGCCCACTTATGGACCCCCCAGATAAAAATAATAGAAGCACAGTGAAACACGTGCGTCTCAAATGTGAAAGACGAATACACAATCTATTTTCAAGCATCACACGTTCTATTTTAAAACATCCAGACCCGTCAGCTTGTAGAGCTTTCTGCTTTTTATCCCGAATCTTCTCCGCTCCAACTTTCTTCTTTTTGCTGACTCTTTCCATGATTATTAGTCCATCCACTGAATTAAAGTATAACCGCATCCGCAGCATCCGTATTCCCATGGACCAGTACCGCTCACCACATCAGCAAGGTTGCCGGAAGTCACTGACTCACGTTTTCCAGCCCAAAAGA